TAACTTTTTTGCTTCTTGCGCAAACGTGGCAAAAAGCGTGGTTGTAGCGTCACTACTACATTAGCGCTCTCCTTGACTTGCCTGAAAAACAGTTTGCGTTCGCTTACTGGCGCGCTTAGTGCCTTATGATCTAGGAGAATTTTTGGATGTACAGGTGCCCTTGGCGCGCAGTGCAGGCGTTTTCGCGCTGAGCGAGTGCCATATTCGTGTTCATGGGGGCGAACTACGCCTATGTAGAGGTTTCTAGCCAAATCTGGCATTTTGACCTGACTTCCATAAATGGACCATCCATGGGTTAGTTCAGTTGATGTACACACCTATTCAGATGCAGATACATTCTCCTGCACAAACCCTCGTCTTGCCACTTCTTATTACGGCATCTCATTTTTGTTACTGCTTCAGTTTTCCTAATATCTGAAAGCAAATTCCGTCCAAAGACAAGCAATCAACAAGAGATTGGCCCTGGAACTATTAGTGACCATCATTCGATCAGCGCTACCGCACTTTTCAAAGTTAGGTCAAAACCTCACATCTGGCTAGAAACCTGTCCCCAGGGTAGTTTTGCTCCCTGAACACGAATATGGCACCCATTTGGCGTTTGAGTGTTTTCTAGACTGTAAAGAGACATTCCGCAAAAAATGCATAAGTACCGCCCTCCACCGGAAATCCGAACTTCCTCATGCATGCGCCGGCGAAGGCAAGACCACTACCACTAGCATCCATGGCCGCCATGAAGGTAAGGTTTCTTCCCGGCTATTCGTTTGCGCCCTGGCTGCAACCGCGCTCGACTCCGTTTTCCTTCATTTTAATTCTAACAAACCTTCATAATTCCGTTCAAAGAATCGTTCTGCAAATTTCGAAGGCAGATTCGAGATCAGCGTCCAAAACCACGTCTAGTGAGCTACATCTCATTACAAATGGCCACTTCGACCTGACGACCTTCCCTAGTAAGATGATCCAGTCGATATCGTCGAATAGGAGGCGCAGAGTGAGCTTGCTCGCGGCTGCGTTCTCCACCAATAGTGGCAGCGTCCATCTAGAAAAGAACCAGTTGTAGAATCCGTCGGCGATGCGGAGGGACATCGCTCCACGCCTCCTAACACGCGCCGCCTGACGAACTATCACTTATTATCCAAGGCAATTGACGCTTCATGGTAATCTGCAGGTGTAACCGCAAAATGAATAAAAGGTAATTCCAAAAATCTCAGAAAGCCCCTTAATATCCAGCAAACGCTTTGAAGATTTTTCGGGGCAAGTTTTCGGTCGGCTCGCTTGTTAGCAGCTGAAGCTCAACCCTGAAGCACTTCTTTATTGATGCAGCTGGACAAGAAAGGACAAAAGGATCAACCTTCCGCCGATCATCTCTATTATCTAGATGCGCCACACACTCCACTTCCATTCAGGATTGTAATGGCTTATTTCATGCGATATGGCCTATACAATGACCTTGCTGAGGTTATGTAGAAGTCAGCCTTATTTCCTCCCATACGAATCCTGGGTCCCAATACCGTTCCAGGGGGGTGAAGGGCTGGTTAGCTTGGCAGAGCTGTGCGATTTTGGTGTCCTAGAAGCCGGCACGCGTAACCCCAGCAGACCCACTTGCCAGCTGCGGCATCTATGCCACATCGAGTGTATTGGCTAACTTCCCGTGAATCTAAAGCTCTCGAAGGGTAGAATTCACGCCTTTTAGGCCCAAGAAAGCGTACATCGTCCACTTCTTCTAACTCATTCGTAAAAATCCTTGAGATTTTTACAAGTCAGCGACTAAGATATCGGGGCAATATGACATTGAACTGCATTAATGAAGAAGCCCTACACCTGACGAAGATGGCAAGCATGCAAATATTTCAGAAGAATAATTAGTAAAGTTCTTCTGAATGTTCTGAGCCCTTTCACTTCGTCAGAATGAAATTTCGGAACAAAATTAGCGCAGGAATAAAAAGTAATTTCCAGAGTGAGGTCCAAGCAAGATGAACGAACAAGGGATGATGCTACTGACGTATTAAATGACTGCTCGAGTTCTACGCTAATGCCGTTTGGACTCCAGCAACTTCGGCACCGAGCTCATTTTTAAATTGCCTAAGTTACCAAATCCGCTAAAAACTTGTATGTAGGGGTAGTTTAACATCCTGATTACGAATATGACATTCACTCTTGCCGCTGGCGCTAATGGATGACACTACGATTACCTGCGCTCCGCTAAGGCTGAGCCCAAGAGGTAATCGTAGTGTCATCCCTTGGCGCCAGCGCCAAGAATGAGTGTCATAATTGTAATCAGGATGGTAAATAACCCTTGTGTACATATTTTCAGCGGGTTTGGCGACTTAGGTAATTTAAAAATGAGCTCGGTGCCGAAGTTGCTGGAGTCCAAACGGCATTAGCCCTTCCCGCACATGATGGATTTGTGGCGCCAACTTTTTTCCGAGCGACCAACTAAAGGTTTAAGCAGTCATAGGAATGACCACAAAAGACGAACATTCCGCGGCATATCGCTGTTCTGCTTAAGAAAACGCTGCGCAATCGTTTCTGTTTGACATTTCCTCATAGGCTTCCCAAGCGGGCTTTCTTGGCAAAAAGCTGCCTAGTCCATTTTCATAGGGACACTGCAGCGACAAGCCTTGTCGATCGCCTTTATAAGATGGGGATCCAATGAACCTTGAACCATGAAATGACTCGTGTCCTTTGATTGCAATATTTTTTATTCCAGGGAATCGCCACACAGGTTTCGTGCAGTGTCCTATGAAAATGAATAGGGAGCTTTCGCATGAAAGCCGCTTGGGAAGCTATGAGAAAACCAAAGAGAAACGTCGGCGCGATTTTTCTCAAGCAGAACAGCGATATGCCGCGGAATGTTCGTCTTTTGTGGTCATTCCTATGACTGCTTAAACCTTTAGTTGGTCGCTCGGAAAAAAGTTGGCGCCACAAATCCATCATGTGGTGAACTCGAGGCAGTAATTTAATACGTCAGCGCATCATCCCTTTTCGTTCACTTGGTGACCTCACTCTGAAATTACCTTTTTATTCCTTTTAATTTTGTTCCGAAATTTCATTCTGACGAAGTGAAAGGGCTCGGAACATCCAGAAAACTTTCTAATTATTCTTCTGAAATATTTGCATGCTTGCCATCTTCGTCAGGTGTAGGGCTTCTTCATTAATGCAGTTCAATGTCATATTGAGTATCTTATGCTGACTTTTAGAAAAATCTCAAGCTGATTTTAGTGAGTAGAAGAAGTGACGAGTATGCTTTCTTGGGCTAAAAGGGTGAATTCTACCCTTCTAGAGTCTGATTCACGGAAGTTAGCTCAATACACTCTGTGGCAGAGATGCCGTAGTGGCAAGTGGTCCGCTTGTCACGCGTGCGGTTCAGGAACCAAACCGCACAGGCTCTGCCCAAGCTAACCAAGCCCTTCATCTCCCTGGAAACGGTGAATTGGGACCAGATTCGTATGGGAGGAAATAAGGCTGACTTCTACATAACCTCAGCAAGTCATTGTATAGGCCATATCGCATGAAATAAGCCATTACAATCCTGAATGGAAGTGGAGTGTGTGGCGCATCTAGATAATAGAGATGATCGGCGGAAGGTTGATCCTTTTGTCCTTTCTTGTCCAGCTGCATCAATAAAGAAGTGCTTCAGGGTTGAGGCTTCAGCTGCTAACAGTGAGCACCGAAACATTGCAGAAAAATACTTCAAAGCGTTTGCTGGATATTAAGGGGCTTTCTGAGATTTTTTGGAATTACCTTTTATTCATTTTGCGGTTACACCTGCAGATTACCATGAAGCGTCAGGTCATTGCATTGCTTGGATATAAGTGATATCTTCGTTAGGGCGGGGCGTGGTCAGGAGGCGTGGAGCGAGCTCTTCCGGGATGATTCTGCAACTGGTTCTTTTTTACATGAACGCTGCCACTATTGGTGGAAAACGCAGCCTCGAGCAACCTCACTCCGCGCCTCCATTCGACGATATCGACTGAATTTAATTTTGATATTTATAGATCTTGCGTGGTCTTAAATATATCCACTCGGCGAATGTGATTCATCGCGATCTGAAGCCGTCGAATATCCTGCTCAATAGTAATTGTGATCTCAAAGTAGGCTAATCGATTGTTTTTCAATCTGTACTGCATTAATTGGCTCATATGAATTCCAGATTTGTGACTTCGGATTGGCTAGAATAACAGATCCTCGTAAAGATCATACCGGTTTCCTGACGGAATACGTCGCAACACGGTAATCTTCACTTTCTTCTTTCACCATTCAAGAGTCTTATGAAGAGTTTTTAAGGTGGTATCGTGCACCAGAGATCATGCTCAATTCCAAGGGCTACACAAAATCGATTGATGTTTGGGCTGTGAGTCTTTAATTCCATTGATTTTGCTTTCAAAAGCGGAATTCAGACCAAATGAGGTAGTTTGGGGAAATACATCCTCACTGGGAGAACAACCCACATTTCTGAGGCTGTGGCTCGCGGATGAAAACTGCACGAATTGAGCATTTCTGAAAATTCACAATGCGACTGGGCGTCTAAAGGTGTTGTATGCGCGGTATTTGCGCCAGACGGAATTGATTTAACGTAGAAGTAATGAGGAGACAATTGGAGGCAAAGTATCTTTACGCGAACTCGCAGAGTGAAGCTCCTAAAATGCATTTTTTTCTATTGAGTCTTACGGATTACAACAAAATCTCCATCTTCGCCTCTCCATCCTCTCGTCCGTCTCCTCATTGGTTACCCCTCCACGCTGGTCGTGTGGGTGAGATAATCATCACTGGGTAACGACCCTACATGCTAAATGGAATACGGGAGGAGCGCAACCAAATGAGGGCAAAGCGGCAGTCGTTATTATCGTCCGTCCATGATCAGCGTAGACTGTGCCGCTCGCGGACTACACGCTATCGCAAAACATTATTTTGTGCTAGAAATGCTCCATAATATTGCTGAAAAGCGATGATCATCGAAAGTTTTACTGCCAACAGCATGTTCTCGACGTTGAGTACACCATTATAGTCCTTTGCCACTTCTATCCCTGACGACCAGCTCTTTTTTTTTGGGAGTTAGGTACGCCAACCCCCCCCCACCTCCGGCCCTCTCTCGCCTCGTTCATCGGAATCGAGCCTGTCGGGGGGGGAGGGGATTAACAGGACATGTAAAAAGGACAATCCCGAGACTATGACGACCGTCCGCCCCCCCCCCTCTTTTTTTTTAACAATTCTCAGATTTCAGGAAATAATATACGTAGTCGGATCGGCCGGCCAGCGGCCAATCCTCCTTTCGCGTGTGAAGTGGGTCCGGTTTGAGAAATTTTCATGTTAGAGGGAGGGCAGTCGATCGGGGTCGCCGGCCAAGAGGTTAATAAAATGTTATTTTGAGGATCACCGGCACTTTTACGGTTTCACTTGACTTGTATACACCCCCTCCCTCCACCTCCCTCGCTGCCAAACCATCTGCCTGCGTTTCACCTTACTCCCCATTTCGTGGGGTTTTTCGAGTGCGTTTTGAGGTTTTTGTCCTCGGCACCGTTCACTTCGGCAAAAAGCCCCGCCCATCAGGGGTGTTGTTCACTCAATTTCGTCACCGCCAACGAATTCTTGATCGTTCGCGCACTCTCTCGGAGTCCCCTTTTGGACCAAAGTGCGAACTATTTGACATGTCTCGTAGCAGGCACCGCCCATCTATAGAACGCCTCGCCCAGAATGGGTTTGTCCCAATCATTTTGTCCGCCAACTGATTGCTTATCGTTTGCCACTTTTTCCACTCTCAGGAGGCTCTTTTGGAAGCCGGAACTAATCGAATTTTTCAAATATGTATTCAGCGAAACTGTGCGCACGCCCGCCTGACAGTGGGCGGCGGCCTTAGCTGATACATTCATGTGTGGTTTCCGTACATCTTGGCCCATGCCTACGCCCACACGCCCGCCCCCTCCAACTGGCTCTTCAGGTGATTCCGAATTTCCGGACAGACAGACAGACAGACAAACAGACAAACAGACAAACAGACAGACAGACGTTGCCGTTTATATATAGTAGGATAGCATGAAAGGAAAATCACGAAAAGTCAACCACCACTCCCACCACTCCTAGAAAGGCCAGAAAGTAAATACGACCCCCCCCCCTCCCAACAATGAGCAAGTACGACCCCTCCCCCTTTACAACGTCCGTGAAGCGAGAAAAATCAACTATCAAAATAAATTTTTCTCAGCCCAAATACGACCCCCCCCCTCTCCTGGCGGCCAAATACGACCCCCTGTTGGGGATTCCCCAACAACGATGTGCCCTGAGCCAACCTCCTAGTTCCTATTCATGCGATTCTGACAAAGCAAATCCATTCAAAGCGAACAAGGCAATCTATAGTGCTTACGAAACGGGAAAAATTGAAAACAAAAATTATTTTCCTCCCTGCTTGGGAGAATTTCTCCAAAGTTCAAATGAGACCCCCTAATAAGGTTCTCCCAACGATGCTGTAGGATATGTGAACGGCCTCCATTGTAAGGTTTTCCCAGGATCGGTGCTGAGGTGACAAATCGATATTCAATAAAAAAAGCTGATGAAAGGACATTTTGAGGTTGGCTGCATTCTTGCCGAAATGTTCAACAATCGACCGCTATTCCCTGGCAAACATTACATTGATCAATTAAATCTCATACTTTGTGCACTCGGCTCACCATCACACGATGATTTGCAGTTCATTTTTAATATGAAGGTGAGTTTTCCTTATCTGTTCTTGTTATAGCAGTCCCTCTTTGTTTTCAACAGTTTTTCTTTCGGGACACTTTCCGCGATAGCCACATAGGGCGGCGACTCATAACCATGAATTGCTCCGCTTATTGAAGCTTCTAATACGGTAAAGACGAGAGGCACGTCATTCAAAAAAGCCAAGAGTCTCCGCCCATTCAATTATCGAGGAGTGTGCCATTAAATTTAAGGCTTTAATTTTCATTTAGGCACGTGCGTTTTTGGCGAGGTTACCGCAAAGGCCGAAGCAGCCGTGGTCAACGCTCTATCCAGAGGCAGATGCACATGCGTTGGATCTTCTGGACAAACTGCTCACGTTCAATCCCCAGAAAAGGTCCGCCGTTTCATCGGTTCTTTATCAGGCCCAGCACCTTCAAATAGTACTCAACGAATAGTTCATATTTAAGTCCCCTATGCGTCAACGATTTCTTGGATAGTGCAGGTGAGAGGTGTGACGACAGGTGAACTAGTTGTGTGGAAGGGGTCGCACAAGAGGCAGTGACGTAGGGAATAGGTACATTGCGATCATGCGCGCGGTCGCGTCGCGGTTGTGTGGAGCTATTGATGGTCAAACTCTTTCACAAAAATGATTTAAGGTTGACGTTGAGTAAATCGTGTCTGTTGCCAGGCTAACTTGACTCTTTAGAATTGCAGAGAGAACATAGAAGCGCATAAGGCCTGAACAATACCCAGCGCTTTTAACGTTGGAGGGGCATTCAGAGGCGCAAAACTGTGATCGGTGCCATCTGAATAGAATTACGATAATTGTATTGGTCCACCATCCCTGGAACAAGTTTCCATCTCCATTACGGTAATTCCAGTGTTGCACCACTAGATCTTCAAATGTCCTCCAAGGCTTTTGACGCCAAATAGGTCCTAGAGGTTTGTCAGATTTCAAGACAGTATCACTCCTCAGACAGACGCATAACACAGACACTTGTTACCAGTCTTGCTTCGTACCAGGAGCTCACAGAAGGTTGTTTTGCCTGGGTGGGTATGCATTTCAAGGAATGCGCAGGAATGATGATCGGCACATCAGTTTGTGTGAAGGGATATGAGACGTCAGATCCACGTCATGGTAAGGCTGCGTTTATACTTTGCGGCAGCGTAGCGTAGCGCTTCCAGCGTACGCCAGCGGCAGTGCCGGGGAAAGGATGCATATCGATCTAGCGTTCCCAGCAAGCGTCGACCAGCGCTACGCATTTGACGTACGCTAGCGGCACGCTAGGCGCACGCTGTGCTCGTAGCGAAGGGCACTGGGAAAAGCATAGCTATCGATCATAGAAACTAGCGCTTGCAGCGACGGGGCTAGACAGGAGCTAGAGAGTATTTAAAGTAGGAGAGTACAAAATACTCTATACGCTGGAAGCGCTACGCTACGCTGCCTGCGAAAATATAAACGCAGCCCAAGGGCCGCGCAAAACAAGTGGTGTCATTGAATGGCAGCACCGCGTTCAATTTTGATGGTTATGCGGCGGCTAACAAGGGAATGGTTTGAACGTTCCATGGAACTTTGAATGGAGACCTAGGTACATCGATAGAGCCTCGAATGCTGATTACGAATATGCAGATTAAAAGTGCTACGGGGACCTCCCAGACGAGATCTGGGTGGTCAAAGTTTGAGTTCTGGCTCGTAAGCGCTGCTGATCGATGCTTCGGCAGTGCCACGTGGCCTCGTGGTAATGGTCTCGCTTTCAAGTCAAACGCATGCGGGTTTGCATCCGGTTGGCGCGAAAATTTTTGCTTCGCTCCGTATAAGAGCTTCAACTCTAATTTTCGAAATTCTTCCGAATTTACGGCCCAGCAGGGCAAGTAGATCAAGTACATCAAGTATACGACGTACTCGATCTAGTATGGATGTGGTCATATCTGCCTTCTCTGAACATATTACCCATCCGACAATTCAAAGTTGTAGCGAGAAGTTCGTTCATGGGAGATTTCGACCCCCTGAACACGAATAATCCACATTCCTTCGACCGGAAAACGCCTCGTCTAGCCCAAATTGCGACTCTGCGGGAAAACTTTGACATTGTCGGAGGGGTTTAATATGTCAGAGCGGCCAGAGAATGACCACAATCCATACTAGACGAGTACGTTCGTCTACTTTATGTACTGATTTGACACTTGCCCTGCTGGCCTTAAATTCGGTAAGAATTTTGTTAATTTGGAGTTGAAGCTCACGGAAGCAAGCAAAAGATCTTCGCCCCAACGGTATGCAAACCCGCAAGCGTATTTGAATGAAAGCTGGCGAGCCTTTACCACGAGGCCACGGTTGCACTGCCACGAGGGCATTCGATCAGCGCCGTACGGAAGGCAGACTCGAACTATGACCACCCAGATCTCGTCTGGGAGCGTCCCGTCAGCCCACTTTGATCTGACTATTCATAATCAGCATCGAGGCTTGGTATCGATGCTACTAGGTCTCCAATCAAATTCCATGGGGAAGTTCAAACCATTCCTTGTAATGGCCAGTGACAGTAGGTTGAAAGTCAGTTCATTTGTGGACGAAAACGTAAAAAACCATCGGAGTATGCCCATATATGCGACCCACGCCACAGCTGAGGGTATAAACGTGGTCAAGGCGAAAGGGAAGGCGCGGAAACCGCGCCGCACGAGTTCTCACTTGTTGGTATCAGCTGTTTTCCTTTATCATCTCACTCTCACCATTCGAAGTGGAGAGAGTTAGTAGCAGAACAACCGCACCATCAGGCAACCATTAGAAATGAATTTGGGCGTAAGTGCGCGCCAGGTGGGGCGGTGGTGGCGACTCTTCACGAGTGGAGTACTCTTATCAGCATTTTTGAGTTGCCGAAAGTACTAACGTTCACAGCCTTATAGATGCGTCTTCGTAATCCAGAGAGGGCGTTGGAACAACAAATGAACGCGGGCGCTGCCTTTAAGCGCGGTATTCGCACCAAGACCTAACTGATTTGACATGAAATTGCCTGCATCCTTAATAACTAGAGCCCTAACCAGATATAATTCGTGCGGCTGGTCGTCGTTGCGTTCAGGTAAAGCTGTGATCGTAGCGCATCCGCATCCGTTCCAAGTCAAGGAACGTCGTAATTAAGGGTGCCAAGCGGGGGGAGCGTATTCGGTCCCTAGAAGGAGTGAGGTCCTTTTATCTGTAGGAAAATGTTTCCGGTTTTTGACTTTCCGGTTTTTCCTGTTTCAATCCCTGTTGCAAAACTCCCGAAAAGTGGGATAAAGTTGAGAAAATTTACCTCGGTAGCAGATCTGATCGGCGATGGGGAAGGTGAGGGTTTGCACAAAAGAAGGATTTGAGAGAGGAGGTCTTATTTTGCTAAGATTTTCCCGGCCGCAATGTGTGCGCCTGCTCGCATTGCATCTTTTTATTGCTAAATTCGACTCGAGTGTCTTTGCTCAATCCATTCACTTTTCATGTTCTCATAAGGAGAACTTATCGCTTTTTTTCAGGATTGACATCGATCAAGCTCTCGCTCATCCATACTTTGTGCAGTACCACGACCCTACTGATGAGGTACGGATCGATAGTTTTGTTCTTCCGCTACAATTTCCTCACAGCTGGTCAATAATCGAATGTGAAATGGGTAATGTTTAGCCGATTTGCGAAGATCCCTTTACATATGAGATGGAGCTCGACGATTTGCCAAAGGAGAAGCTGAAGGAGCTTATCTGGCATGAAACTGAACTGTATCACATTCGTATGCAAGACGAAGCTGCTGAGGATGCTGCAGAAGAACCCGTCGTCTTAATGGCCACCTCCTAGTCTATTGCAGATCGTCCACAGGTTTTTCGACCCTCCATGAATAGCCACTTGCCTCTGGTAATCCACTGATCTGCTACGGGACCATATCGATCGATATGATGTTATGGTCCTGTAGCCAATACCACTGTATCTAGTATATCATACGGTCGTTACCACTGAAGGGATTCGGAGCGCATCAGCAGTGGGTAGGTCTTGGCGCGGTGCCAGCCCCTTTCCTACTACTCCTTGAACGCTCGAAGCAGGAATCAATGGGAAATGGGCTGGCGCAGCGCCAAAACCCACACCACCTGACACGCTCGACTGAATTCTGAGATAACGACTGTACACGGTAAACGATGATCTTTGCCTAGGAGTCCATTAATGACAGCTAGCTAGCTAACCGGCTACCAAAACTTTCTCCGTCCATTTGTCCCGGTTTTGTCTGATTTTATGCTGAGAAAATTACTGTTTACTCATTTTGGTTGTCTGTATTGCTCCATCACTTATCGACTCGTCTCTCGTGTGTTTCTGGTCAAATCGGTTCAGGTTCAGCGTCGTTGTTCACCTTCATTCCACTACCACCATCATTCACCGGTCCTTCACCTGTTTGCACCCTTTCTTGCACCATTAGCTACCACCACGTTAACTGCGAAACATTCGATGTTAGCACGCTACTCGTCATTCGATAATATTGACAAATATTGATTACATTGTATATAATTTATTTTTACTCATGTTCCTATTCCGATAAACTTTACGAATCTCATGAGTCTTTATTGCGAACTTATTGCTATATGCACTCTCCAATTGCAACAGGCGTTAGCCTGCGTTCATACTTTGCCGCAGCGTCCACTAGCGTTTCGAGCGTCCGGCAGCGTCAGCGACTGGGAAAGTATAGATATCGATCTAGCGTCTGCCAGCGTCCACCAGCGTCTCGATGGCCTGGGGAGTATAGGTATCAATCTAGGTTCTGGAGAGGAGAGTATGGCGTGATAGGAGGGTAACAGACAGCTGGTAGAGTATGGGGAGACAGGAGGTGGCAGACTGCTTGTAGAGAGTATGGTGTAATAGGAGAGTACCAGCTGTCTGTTACCCTCTTATCGCGCCATACTCTCCTCTTTCGGACGCTGATAGACGCTGCTGGACGCTGGCGAACGTTGGGAGACGCTGGTAAATGCTGGTAGACTGGCAAACGCTAGATCGATATCCATACTTTGCCGATCGCTGACGCTGCCGGACGCTCGAAACGCTAGTGGACGCTAAAGCCGCAGAGTATGAACGCAGCTTAGACACTCAATCCTCAACTGCTCTGCCCCTATAGCCCGCAT